GTGTTGAGCGTCAGCACTGAGACTCAGATGCTCCAGGCCATGACCACTTTCTTGAAGGGAACAAACACTGCCCGGTCCGGATCACTGCAACCCATGCATTATGCCCTTTCAATATCATCTTGTTTCAGATTTTATCAAGTTACTCAATCTTTATTTCTATGAAAACTGTTTCTTGTCCATTAGGAGAGGTTCAATACTTGGTCCTCTGCTTTTTCTTAAATATATAAATGATCTGCCCTAAAACCTATACTTTTTGCTGATAATATGACATCCAGAAATTGACTGTTTCCAACTTTGCATTCATTGTGTCTTTGCTGGCTTACCAACAAAATAGTGTTAATCTAATTATAGGGTATGAGGATAAAACAATTAAAGAAGTAGAAACCACTAAATTTCTTGGCCTACAAACTGACAATAACATAAGCTGGAAAACACACATTCAATAAATTATCCGCAAACTAAGCACAGCATGCTTTGATATGAGTGCTGTCACATCACATATGGAAACAGAATTTTAAAATTAGGATATTTTGCTTATTTAAATTTGATTAAGTCACATGGATTTAAATCAGTCACAACTGTGTGATTTATATTTGTATTAGAAATGAGTATTGTATTTGTGCTATAACATGTTCTACATCCTTGGCTTAGGTGTACAGAGGATCTACAGAATGTAAATAAATCCTATTCTCTATTCATATAGAAACTCTACAACATTAACAGATAGCTATTACAAGAGCAATAAACAGTTTGTAGAAACTGGATGTGTGAACATTTCCACATTAAATGACAACCTGCAGATAGTGTCCTCTATGTTTAAATTAATTTCTTTGAATATGTACCGTTAATTTTCAGAACCACTCTAACAATATCCAAATTATATGAAATATAAATGTGACTGTCTAGTTCTCCAATATTAGGCTTGATGAATTCTGAAATCTCCTAGTTTTTGTAGAAGAATAACATCAAACATTACTTACCAATCAAAATACCTACGGCCTTGAAAAACACCATCTGAATCTCCCATATCTTGTGGTAGTTCAACACCAACATGGGGTTCAGCTTTGCCAGAAACTAAGCCAACATATCGGACACGTCCAACCATTACTCTTCCCTCACTTGTGATCACTTTCACGAAGTACTCAAGTTTGAGATCACGAGGAATTTTGGGTAAAAATGGCTGAGCAGACTGTGGTGGCAAAAACTCTGCAAAATTAGACATGTTAAATAATATGTGTTAATAATATAACTTTCATTTATTTATTTTTGTTTTCCATGCCCGGCAATGCCCATTGGATGTTCCGGTGTTAGTGAGAGTAGTGACTACACAATTATACTCAAACCTGATTTGACTGTAAGAGCCATCTAGCCATGAATTAGGAGAGACATGGGTGAGAAATGGCTGCTGATTTTTGCTTACGAAACATCTTGTATCATGCTCATAAGGTTCTTTTATATGCCGTAAATCTACGACATGGGACCACTGGCTTTACATCTCCTCCGAAGGAAGTTGTGCTATGGATTTTTATCACCCCTAAAAATCCATCGACCTCGGCCAGGTTTGAACCTGCAATTCTTGGGTCCAGTGGCGAGCATGCTAACAACTAGTCCACCGAGGGCGGCAACATTTGACTTAATAATATTATATTATAATAACATGATTTCATATTGTTTCATCTACTACTATATTATTTTTACACATGAATGCCCACACACACACATGCACACAAGTAAAAAAAAATGTTACTACTTATTTATCATGAGCTGGGGCAGCTCGGTCAGTTTTGTGTCTGACTACAGACTGGATTACTGGGATTTGATCCCTGGCAGAGGCAAAGAACTTTCCTTCTAGTTTGTGTTCACACCAGCTCTGGGGCCCACCCAGCCTCCTACGTAATGGGCACTGGGGGTCCTTTCTCCAGGGGTTGGGTATGACATTGACCACTCAACCCCATCTAGTGCTGAGGTCAAGAATGAACAAAAGCTAAACATCATCTCTCCCCAAATGCCTCCATGGCATGTAGTGGGACAGTTTTACCTATTCATATCAGAATACCAGTTCTATTAACTGCCACATATAAAATGGGAGGAAAGTTTTTAATCAGATGCTTATTTAAAACTTCCAACTTTCTGAAACTTCATTACTAGATTAAAATAATTTCAAATTCTATACTTCTTACAAGAAAAAATAATTACCACCCACAGTGAAAGACTAGTTACAAGTTCACAACTTTCAAAAGCACATTAGTCAAAATTTAATGTAGGCAGTAAAAGAGACTTCAGATGTTATAAAAACTGTGACATTTTATACCATAATGGAGTATTCTGCCTGCAATAATACTCTGTGTGTCACACGAGATTGCAAAATCAGTTGCATCAAAGAATTTCAGGAATATTTTCATCAAATAATCTTCAAACTTCTTCATTGTATATAACAGGACAAATCGATTTCACACATAAAATTCAGAACTAATGATACAAAGAAAATGGAAGTAGTTATTTCTTACACATTTAATTATAATTACACATTGTTGAGACATGTAACATAGGAAGAAAACTGCTGAAGATTACTTTAAGGCACTGTTACAGCAAACAACTGGAGAACACACAATCACACCATGTCATTGCCTTGTTATACCTCGAACAGGATCTGAAAGCTTGCGGTTCTGCCTGCACCGTCCAGCTCGTGCCCAATCCGTTCCTGTAAGTATTGAATCAATAGAACGACGTAGGTATTCTTCAGCCTCATCAATGAGCGAGTCTGTTGAATCTCCACTGTCCAATTCAAAGTCTGATCTGAGATCCGGAAGTGACTGTCCAGGATGGCGTGGGCGTTGAAAGGAAGACACTAAAGGACATGAAGTGAGTTAATCAGAAACAATAATAAAATCAAGAACACAATTCCAGCCTCATTTGAAGCCCTGAAGCACAAATCAGACAAACTCCTTCCTCTACAAGCCACCTACAAAAGCAGTGGTAGTTCCTAGACCTGTCTGGATAGCCAGCCCAACACAGTCAATGAGGAAGAATATGGTTGGGTCTGTGGTGAAAGGTACAGGGCAGGTAGGAAGGAGATGGTGGCCCTTTCTGTGTTAAAGGTATTTCCCCAGTGTATACCTGGTGCAGGTAAATAAAACCATAACAAGTTTGTGTAATGATAGCCACTAACGACGACAGACTTGAATCAGACACCTCTCAAATACAATCTCTCTTTCACTGAGCTGGTCCATTCAGTGTCTACATGATTACCTCAGAGCACCTTCTAAATGCATTAATTTCACCTAGCATGTAACTTATCAGCATTTTGAAGGTGAAAGCATAATTTGGAAATAATCTTTTAAATTATTATTTTTACAAGTTCACTTCAAAATTAATTTTTATACCCCACTGCTGTTCCTAATCATTTGATCTTCAAATTATTAAACAGGTACTGTCATATTATAGCTAATATTAGGAAAACAGGTCTGAAGATGTGGAATGGATTCATCTGCCTCAGGATCAGAACCACTGGGAGGCTCCTGTAAATACAGTAAGGAACCTTCAGGTTCCACAATAGGCAAATTTCTTGACCAGCTGAGCATACTATTGAAGATGGCTGCCTCCATCATCAGGACGATCATTGCCCTGATGATGGAGCCAGCAAGGACCTCTGAAATGTCAGTAAACTTCTACCAGACTACACAGCACAACAATCCAGAAGACATCCATCTTCAGACACACATCGCCGTGAAAACCTCAAATCCTACATGAGCATATTATTACCTTCTCAAGACAAATAATGCTTAATGAAAACACGAAAACACTAAGGAATGAAGAGAGTGAAAAAACCACCTGATAGCACATGGTGACGAACATGTTATGATAGCCGAACACTGCAATGTTACGTGTCAGACAGAAACTGTTAAATTTTGAAAGACCAAATGTGCAGACTGTTACAGTAAGTAACTAGATATAAACCACACCAAAGTTTTTCAGAGATAATTTTTTTCTTGCACCATAGTGTTTTCATGTTTCAACAGCAGCCCCCCAATTACTATCAGTAATCTTTGTCATTAGTTCTGTCTTTCATACCTTGGAAGGTGACTCTGTTCCTAGCCCTGCTTTTGGTAGTGGGTAACTTTGTACTCTTGGTACTTGATAATCCAGAGTATTGAGCATCACGTGCAGCTGCCCAGTAGCTGGCAGAGTAGAGATTCACATCTGAGTGAGGAGTTGTATATGATGGTGAAAACTGAATACTTCGTGATAGATGACTATGGGTTGGGGACGAAGGTACTGAACCCCAAGTTGGTCTCTGAGTCATGGAACTACTGCGATACATCTCTGGTGAGGGCTTCCAGGAATGTCTCCTCCGCGCATCAGAATACTCGTATGACGCATGTGCAGGAATACATGTCAAGGATCCCTGATACCGTGGTATACTAGAATAACATTCCGTATGAGCTTTGTTTGTCATACCTCCATATTGCATTAGATTATTATGTGTACAGCTGCATAATGACCAAAAATCTTTGCCATATTCTCTGGAATGTAGGTATCCAGGAGACACTAGATTATCAGCCATGTGACCCATTTCTGTATTTTTCATATATGAATAAGCTCGGGGATAATTCCTGCATAACCCTGGAGCAACATTAGTAACTTGATCTGAACTAACTGGTTCTACACCCTCTTGACTCAAATGATCTGCACTTCGAGAAAGTTCTGGGACCATGCTAGTGAAATTAATATCTGACAAAAGGGTGCGTCTAGCTTCCTGAGTCTTGTCTGATAATTTGAGTGAGCATTTACTGTGTGTTGTCTGCTGCATAGGTAAAGCAAATTTGGATGGTAGAGTGGTGAAGTTGTGGCACACTTTGTGTGCTAGGTAACTTTCAGATTTCCAGTGAGCAGGAAGAGCTGTAATGTCAGTTTGTGCCTCTGACTCCCGCTTGGATGAATTCCTTTCTACAAGAATTGGTTTCATGGGAAACTTTCTGTATTCCTGTTTCCCATTCTTAGGACTCTGTCCTGCTGGAGAAGTGGCAAACTTGACAACTAGTGGTCTTGGACTGGTTAGAGCTGGTCCCAGAAGTTGACTCTTACTTCCTTTGAGAACTTCTCTATGGATGATAGGTTGGTAAACCAAAGGATTTGGCATCGTATTTCTACGTGACACCCGACCAGGAATTTCACTTTCATCTACAACGCCACACTTTGAAATATCTGTTTCAACTAACACAGATTGCATCCACATCTTAGATAAATTAGACTGAATTTTGTCATTAACATCATCATTTTCATCTCCAATCATTTTGTCTCCTCCATCACCCTCCAAAGCATCTTCTGTTGCCTCATCAAACTGATCTGTTTCAGCAAACTTGAGGAGAACTGGTGTTCCACTGGGTTGCCATGCTTCTGTATCTGTGATAGATACCAAGTCTTCTTGCAGAACACCCAATTCTTTGGTTTCTTCAGTAGTAAAAATGAGTTCAATGTCATCCAGTTCTTCTGACTCATTATCTGACTCTCCTGCTGTCTTGCTTTCTCGAGGTGTTCCAACCTCTTGCTGACTTGTTTCACTGCAAAATGATTGATCTTCCTCTGACATAGACCTCATGTTTGGTTCTCTGTAATCAGATTTTTCTTGTGAATCACCTTTCTCTTTTTCTGACTGATCCTCTCCTAGCTGTACAGATGTTTCAATTTCTTCCACAGTACCATCATTTACTACCTTCTGAGGATCCTTAACTTCTTCACATTTAACTGGATCCATGTATTCAGTATCAATTTCTATTCCCTCTAATTCTGCTTTAGCCAAAACTTCTTTAAGCTGACCTACATATCCTGGCACTGTGTCTTTGCTAAGAACTCTTTGTCGTAAAATGTGATTTTCAAGAGACAGTTTCTCAATGGTGTCAACATACAAGTTAGTGTCAACGTGAGTCTGAACTTTGTCTCGAAGCAGCTTTAGCTCCGCACGGGTATTGTCCAAGGCAACACGAAGAGATACTACTGTCTGATGGAGAGCTCTCACTGTTTCCAGATTCTGTATCTCTGGAGGTAGTTGAGCAAATAGTGGCCCACACCTACTAATATCCATTTAGTTGCTGTATTGGTCATGTCGAGATTCCAGTGGGAAACCCTTGAGTACACGTCAGTGGAAAAGAATTATAGCATCATCAGTATGGTGTGCTAGATCAGAGGAACCAGAGAATGAAGTTGATTTATGACAACAGAAACCTACATTGTATGCTGTATCTCTTGTCATTAATAATTAAACATCTGGTCTGGTGATAACCTGAAAACAGTGAAAATTTTCTGCTTAAACACCTGTTGACACAATTTTGATCTGTATGCCCTTAGCATATACAGCAGTTACAATATTCAATTCAGTTCCTTTATTAGAGTGTTTTCCAACAGCAAAGAGATTACGGTAGGCAAACACTAATATGAAAGTACAACAATAAGATACAAATTAAATAAAAAGCAAATAATCCACCGAGGTAAACACTAATATAGATATATAATGCTAATAAAATACAAGGAACAAAATAAAAGCAAGAATTAAACTAAAAACAAATAACCAAGCTAGATCATCAATCTAGACAACCTATCTAGATCATTTCCCTTCTTGAGAAAGTGCCCTCAAAAGAGACAACGTTTATGCTAAATACGTCCAAAGATTTACATACATCATTTGCAGCGATGACATACATATTCAGTATAACAATAAAACAAGGTCAAGCATGCATTAGTCCACAACGAATCAAACAGTAATGACTGAACATTTTAACCAAATTGTATTACACATAATTTCTTTCATGTGACTTGGCTATTTACTTCATATATCATATTAAGTCAATGAATAATAGGAAAAAACCATAAGATCTTTTCTTTCCATTTAATTAAGGATGGTGAAAATTTAAACAGTTTTTCATGAAAAGGAAACAACTGATGTCAATATTCTCTACATAGCCCATGATGCAAACAACTTTTATACAAATATAATTCTTATGTGCATGTTTAATCACAATGTTCTTTAGAAACACTGAAAGACTAAATGCATTCCTTAACACAATCTGGATAATTATACAAGCACAATTCATTCTCATTCTAGGAAAGTGTAAGATAATAAAATCTAGTTACCATAGCTTAGCCAACACACTACAGCAATTTGGAATCACACAAATCTGTCCGTAATACAATTAATTAATTTACTGGTTACTGTTTGCATCCACATTTCCTTAAGTAATCTTGTATCTTACAACAGTGATGCGCATTACACCCCCATGTGCAACAACAAGCTCCTATACGCTCCCAGGGATAATAATCAATAGCCAGTTTTAGACCCTACATTACCCAACAGCCCAAAGGTGTATTTCTCTAAGGTAGATACATATTATATGGAGTCACATGCACAATATAGTACATCAAAAGTAATGTATGGGGGACAGTCATTTTACCTCAGTTAACGCAATAAATTGCATTCTTCCTGCTCTTGTGTTCTTTAATGGGCTACAATTTTGACCTCCTATCCACCACTCCTGTCAACAAATTGAACAAAAGACGGCTGCGCAGCTCGACAAATAGAAGAGAAGTGAAGATCGAAAGGCGAAAATATGAAAATGTGAATGGAGTTTTCACGCTGATTTTTACGAAATTGAAGCATGTACACGAATAATTGTGTAATTAATAGTGTCTGCAGCAACCTATGTTTTCGCACCTCCATATATGTTCAAAAACGATGGAAATCAAAAAAAGTTCACTGGGTGGGTAATGAATCTGGGACTGTTATAGGTTATGAAATTTAGACAATAAATGTGGAAACTATAATTGTAGCTATCATATGAAGTGGGTGTAATTATATAAGCGAAATTATAATTTAAAATGTAAAATTAGAATGTTACATCCTGTGCAGCATGCCTCCACAAGGAGTTACCAAACCGAACATAGATTATTCTAACCTGTCTAGCTACTTAACTTGTTTAAAGTCTTTGTATTATGTTAATTTCAGTCGGTCTTAGCTAAGAAGATATATCCAGTAGACAAAGCCTTAGAACATTTTGATGACTTCTATAAAACAGTTTTTGGTAGGAGATGGCCGTCTATCCGCCTTGCTCTTCTTTCACCACATAAATATTGTGCTGTAATCAACAATTTTGGTGATTCTGACATGGCAGTGTCAGACTTACAGGTAATATAATTAAGTGTTTTGATTCTAATATACTGGACATCATAGTGCTATGTAAGAACTACTCCTTAGTATTCCAGATGTCTTAGGTTCTGATATAAATAGTGTATGCTGTTGTGAAAGAGTTATTAAATAATCCACTGAATATTTTTTTGTATGTTGTTTGTTTTAAGGAATGTTGATACACGTTGTATGAATATATAAATATATCCTATGATTATTTATAAATGTTGCAGAAACTTTCTTAAATGCCACTTGTTCATTTAAAATTTTATTTTGGTCTGAAAGTAGTCAGTTTCAATGTATTAATTATTATACATTTTACAAATGTTAAAATGATTGCTTATTATAATGTTTTCTAGAACATTGGTGCCATGAGCATGAGAAGGCTGTTTGAATTGGAGAAAGAAACCATCAAGCAACAGAAACAAGAAGACAGAAGAAAGAAAGATCTAGAGAAAATTTTCAAGCTTGATAGAAAATTGGAACAAATGATGGTTGCCAAACAGCAAAAGGAACTTGAATCTCTATATCCACACAGGGAGAAGAGTGAAAGTGCCTGTGTGCCAGCAGATATTCTTACATTGAACAAAAGTAGTTCTGACACATCCCATGGATCGTCAGTCAATATGAACAGAAAAGTAAGTACAAGAGACAGAAATAATAAAATATTTCTAAATAAATATAGAATATAAAAAGGTATAAACAAGTGAAGCTACTTCTATAATCTTGTAACCATGAGAATTTCAAAGCAGAGCAATCAGCTCACAAATGGCTGCCTTTACCCCCAGAAAAAGTGATGTCAGTATTGACTGGATAATAAGAAGCTAGTTGGGTCTAAGAGAAGAGAGAAAAATCCCAGTACCACTTTTTGGATCAAGCTCCCAAGCCAATCAACCTCTTGCTGTTTACATTTATATTAACACTGTCTAGTCTTTTCCTTGTAAGTGATCTCAAATGAAATACAAGGGCATTTTTATCCAATATTTGAGAAAAGATTATATGATTTCATAGTATATGTATGGAAAGATGTGAAGAGGTGGATTTATGATAACAATTGTGTAAAAGATTTACATTTATCTTAACAGGATCATGCTGAGGAATGTGGAGATGCTCTCATTGAGAAATCATTACACTCAAGTCTCAGAGATGCTGATTTTGATACACAGCGGCTCATTGATCCAGCCAGCGGACTGTCAGCGGCTGCACTGTATGAATATGTGCCAGCTACTCGTCTCAAGGGCATGGAAGACTGGATTGTGGAATCACAGCATTATCGCTACTACAAGAAAAACACTGACTTTCCTGTTCACATAGAAAGTGATCATGATTTTATCTTTCCTGATCATCTTCAGGTGAATTTTATGCATAAGTACCCAAATATTTTGTAATTTTGCAATAAAATGTGGCTTTATACCTTATTTAAAAATGTGTAAATATAACCTTCCTACTCATTCTTGCTGCCTCCATCATCAGGGCGAAGATGGAGGCAGCAAGGACCTCTGAAACATTGGTAAACTTCTACCAGACTACACGGTGCAACAACCCAGAAGACAGCAATCTTCATAACCTGCTTTTCTCAAGTCATGATGTGGAGTTTCACATAAAATGATAGTCCAAACTATCCCATTACAGACCCAAGACCAAAGCATTTGCAATTTTTCCAGTTTTTCCTATGCATCTTCTACAATGTGTGACATCCCCCACTTATGCAAGAACTTTCTGAGAAATATATATATATATATATAATTCTGTGGGACACGTATGTTAAATAAAACATTTTCTGAAATGTTATATAGAACAAGAATTCCAAACCAACACACATTGTGTTCTCTGCTTTAGGTGTTAACATTTGAACGAGGAAATGTCTCATCATTCCCAGCACCAAAACGTGGTTCAACTGGTGTTCTTAGTAAGTCCAGAATACTTATCTGATACTAATTGAATTAATAATAAAAATAATAAGTATGGTGATAATTTTAAATGACACGCATCTCAACAGTTTGCATTCATCCTGATATAGATTACTACTTGTTGGATGGTGGATCACTGTTGCCAGTCTTAGCACTGGGTGTGAATCCTGGTGACCGAGTGCTGGACATGTGTGCTGCTCCTGGGGGAAAGTCTCTGCTGATGCTGCAAACACTTTTTCCAGGTTTGTACTGTCTGTAAGATTCGTATATTGTTACATGCTTGTGTAACAATTCAAATTAAGGAGGTCTGTTACACAGCTAATTTTCTCTTCAATATTCCTTTCATCACTTCTTTATACAACGAGAAACAGTCTCAGCTTCAGGACAGACAAAATTTTTAATCATAATCATCATTGTGATTATTATTACCATCATCGTAATAATTATTGTTACTTATTATCACTGCTATTATTATTACCTGATCATCTTTTCCAGCACTTCTTGTGTGCAATGATGTTCAGGAATCACGTACCAATAGAATCCATGCAGTAATTAAGCAGTACCTTTACAGTATGGATAAATGGAAGAACAGACTAATTGTTACTCAGAGAGATGGCAGAGACATAGATGAGTACAATATTTACAATAAGGTAACTTTAATTTCTTATGTGTATAACTCCATAGTAATGAAGCACTTCTTAATCTTGGCTGTTTAATCCAAGTTTGATAAATTATAATATTAATATTAATATAATATTAATAACATTCTTTAACTCCCATTTAGAGAATTAATCTTTTACATACTTTTCATTTTGGAAGTAGTATATTATGTAAATCAAATCATATCATTTTCACTTAGCACTTAAAATTCTATATAAATTTGATCTGTTTGTTAACACTTACCAAACTATGAAGATATCCGTCTTCTGGGTTATTGCACTGTGTAGTCTGGTCGAGAGGCAGTATGACCTCTGAAACGTTGGTTAACATCGACCAGACTACACAGCGCAACAACCCAGAAGACAGAAATCTTCATATTCATCGCCCTGATGACGGAGGCAGTATGACCTCTGAAACGTTGGTTAACATCGACCAGACTACACAGCGCAATAACCCAGAAGACGGATATCTTCATACTCACCGCTGTGAGAACCTCAAGTCTTACTTACCAAACTCCTCACAAAGTAAGTCATGATCTGAGCAAAGTGTCCAGTGCTGTTATTACTCCTCCATCCTGCTTATAGATACTGTGTTCTTGATACAGTAGAATTAGTATGAGTTGAGTATTCTTCCAACTTCCAATCCCTTGTTGGCAGAATCTTTGTGGGCTGAAAGGCAATGTATAAATACTGAAAGTAAAATTTGATTCATGCATATACATCTTGGAATTTTGTAGGGCTTGTAGTATTCTCATGGTAAAGGTAATGATGCTGGAATTATAATTTGACGATATTAAGCAGGTTATTTTTAAAAATTAAATTTCCTCATGAGAAAGTTTAGAATGACCTGAAAATTCTTAATTTTAAACTTGATTACATTTGATTCATACAAGGTTTTTGTTCTGTACCAGTCAAAAATATTGCCAGTACCATATATTTATGTGTAAATATGTGCATTAAATTACTGTGATTTTTTCAGATCTTAGTTGATGTTCCTTGCACCATAGATAGACATAGTTTACATGAAAATGAAAATAATATTTTCAAACCAACAAGAGTAAAAGAAAGACTGAAGATACCAGAAATACAGGCTGAACTTCTAGGGTATGTAACTATTCAATTTATCATTAATTTATATTTAGTATGTTTACTGAAGGACTGCCCCACTATTAGTTAAAAATGTTTATTCAATTCAGGCATGCTGTATAATTTTACATACCAAACACTGTTGTCATATTATTTCATATGTACACAAAAGTTACTTTTGCAGTCATGCTCTGAAGCTGGTACAACCTGGAGGGACAGTGGTGTATTCGACATGTTCTTTGTCACCAATCCAGAATGATGGTGTGGTGCATATGGCTCTTCGTAAAGTGTGGGAAGAAACTGACATTCAGGTTGTTGTTAAGTAAGTCAAAGGGCAGTTAATTATTTTGGGCAGTGGTAATCTTATACAAGCAGTGCAGTTCAGACCAGCCATTTTTAATTGCATTCACTCTAATGAAATCAGTAATTTTGTTTTTCTTCAGGATCACATACTGTAAACGCTGTAATATATACAGGCTCTATGTTCTTTATATTCACAAATTTACTATGTGTGGTCAAGCTCCTAACAATACATTATCACAGATTTTCTTCAAAGTTTCCCGTGGTGCATTATCATGAGTTTCACATAGTTCATGGTATCTAATCTAAGTGTTATGTCATCAGTTCATTCCTCTGTCTTGTACCATCTAAATTTTACAAAGTTAGCAGCTATTCTTTTTGTATTTTTGCTCACCAATGCGTCATGATGTCAGCAGTGTGAAAAGACAAAAGATAATAATTCACAACTCATGAAAACAATATGTGCATACATTTATCCAAGTCAGTGAATTTTGCTATTCACAGGTATCTCAGGAACATATTCCTTGTGAGTAGGACTAGGTTCTCACAGACCTGAATAAAGGATCGGTATCTCCTGTGTTGTAGTGCTGTGTAGTCTGGTAGAAGTTTACCAGTATTCAGAGGTACATGTTGCCTCCATAACTTGTCATCCTGATGATGGAGGCAGCAAATTTAGTCTAAAAAATAAAGGAAAATATATATACTTACATGCACTTGGATGAAATATTATATTCATATCTAAATTCTGGCAATTAGATATTCTGTTATCGTTGGTTCAACATTTGAGACTTGATATTGATGGTTTGGATATTGGAAAATTTGCAGGGACTGCATTCTCCAGTATATGTACACTGAAACTGACCTTGCATTCCACAGGGACATGACAGCTGCTCTGGAGCCAGTGAATTGTATGTACAAGTTGGGACAGGACCTGGGATTGAAGTATGGTCATTTGGTGTTGCCTTTTATTCCATGTAATTTTGGACCAATGTATTTCTGCAAACTTGTCAGAAGAAAGTAGTTCACTGGCTTTATACCTTAAGCAAAAATAAATGGTTAATAGTATTAGAATATTGCAAAATAATTGTAGCTGTTATTCAAGACACTCTCTTCAAAGTTCAAACTCCCACCTGTTACTTTCATCTTGCTTTCCTGAACATTGTCCCGATATCACTGTGCAGTATTAATTGAAATTCAGTTATGAGGTTCATGTTCAGTCATCCTACAGCACTAACCTGACCCAGAACCATCAATACAGCATATAAAGAGATGTTGAAATGTATCTTAAAGTGGTTCAGGAAACAGAGTCATTGTTTTATTGTACAGGAATGAAGCATTTTGCATATTAGCAGAACAAGTTCTATGCTATTATTTTTTAAAGCATACATGTTTAGAATTCAGGAGAATTTAATTAATTATTTCTATAAAGAGCCTGGAAATGACTTGAATATGCACAAAAGCAAGCTTTACTTTTATGCGTGTCAAACACATACAGAGAACTATAAAATAAACAAACAAACTACATGGTATGCAAAGTTTTAAGAATACGGAGACCTGACAAAATAAATACATATTGAAGGTGTCGAGAAAATTTATATCTAAGAAATGTGGCAGATGATATTTAAAGAAAATATCACAATTTACATCTTCACAAGACCATTATATCAGTGAAAGAAATTTCACCACTGACAGAAAATAAAGAGGTGATAATATACAGGTGTATACTTAATGTTCTGAGATTTTCAGCTTTGCACCATACACATCTTTGACAGTGCATGCAGGTGGTACATACAGCATGCAAACCTGGAAAAATATCAGTTTCTTCCCAAATTCTTAAGCTACTTCTCACCTTTAGTCCTTTATATATGTTTAACATCACTGTGCAATTAAACTGCTGCTGAACTGGATAAAAAGTTGCTATTCTTTGGAAAAACTGTAATAATACAAATCTGTTGTTAGAATAGGCCTGTAATGGTAGTGGCAAATTCTAGTCTAAAATCCAGTCATGACCTTGCAGTAAAACAGAATTGTTCTCTCTCTCCTGTTCACATCAGTGCTTGTATGAAATTACTATTTTGTGACCACTAACTGAACAGTGAATCAACTTGCTTCCCTAGTCTGGCATACATGAAGATATTCTGTGGCGTATAAGCTACATACACAGTGCATAGTCTTACACCTGATTCCAAGCAAAGCATTAGACCATTCAGTGAATAAGAGAAAACATGTTTTATATTCCTATAATTTTAGTAGTAAGCCAGCCTACTACTAGCCAGACTGAAACATTTACCACTGCAGTGGTATAATGTATTATATTTAGTAAAGTGAAATACCAAGATGTATTAAGGAGCAAATTAACCGTGAGAGCCAAATGTGATACCTCTGCGTACATTTTGTAATCCACCCTCAATGAAGAATGGGAGAAATCTAAGAAAGTAAACAATATTCTGGCTTCTGATGAGGGCTTTAGTTTTTTTCCATAGAGTAATACCTTATTTGCTGTAATTTGGAATTACAAAATGGTTGAATATGAATTGGTAGATTTTGCAGGACATGAAAATTGCAAATGTCATACTCACCACAGTCAGAATACTCAATCTTGATGATAAAAATGTCACCTGTGCTTCAGCACCATGCTATTAAAACAAGATAGGGAGTGGACAACTCCATATATTCTTCACCTTAACACTAGCTATAAGTGCTCAGCTTCAAATTGGGTTGCTTTACCCTGTAGTCAGAGTTCCCAGTGCCATGAATAAGAGGCTGGGTAGGCCCCAGAATCAATCTGAAAGTGATGGAAAAGACAAAAAATCCTATCCATACCAGGAACTGATACCCAGTCTCTTTACTGACTGAATTATTCCAATATATTTTGATAACAAAAGGAGGCAGGCTAAATTGGTTAAAACCTACATAATTATCTAGTTACTAAAAGTATGTCTTTTTGAACTACTATCAAACTGCAACACAACATCTGTATATTATCTTAGAAACTGAGAATTTCATCTTACTGAAAACACGTATGGACAGCAGTATAAAATGACAGGACTAACTAGTCAAAGTTTTGTAATTCTGTGGTCAAATGATACAGATAACCTGCTAGGTGAAACCTTCAAACTCATGCTGTAAATGCTAAAATTCTATTCTCTCTTCCATTCACCCATTTGTGCAGATCTTTCCACTTTAATAAAACTCAACCACACAAAATTATTGAAAGAAGTAGGATGAAGGATGACTGGAAATGTTGAAGGAGAGCCATCTTTATTCCTAACTCTCTCATACATTCACACTGGTTATTTTTGTAAATTATGTTCTAAAACTGTTTTGAATACATTTTAACATTTCTTGAAATACATGCCAATTATCTAGTCAGTGAATATAAAAAAAAATAAATAAACATACTTTATACAGAGAATAAGTCAACAACAGGCATCATTACATTTTTGTGTCCTCATCCTCATCTTCAGTTGCCTCCTTTTGTTCCACATCTTTAGAAATAATGGCAACATTCGGATTGTTCCAGGGTTGCTCTTGCCCACTACCAAACACTGTGTATACCACTGATTCTACAATCAGGAATGCTGCTGCAGAGTTAAGGATGATACCCCACTGCTCTCTTGTGTGCTGAAAGAAGTATTTGCAATAAAATCATGATACATTCAAATACTAAAGAAACTGTAGACTATAATGCAGCACTCTATGAAATTCTAGTAAATGTCATAATCAGACAAGTATTGAAAGTCTACTTGAAAAGCTTTGCAGGATTAGATCAGTTTAATAATCTGTAGAATGTCATGTGTCAGAAACAATAACAAGTGCCAGAAGTCCTAACACCTATAGTGAGAAGTGAGGGCATCTTAATACATCAAGATCTGTACAGTATTTTTCACCAATTACAGAGAAATTTAATTTAACTGAAGAGATACTGTTAATACAGTAGTAGAATCTCAGTAAATCTTAATAAAAGTGCAGTTAATTATTAACTCAATCATATTTCATATGTTAATAAAATAACAGATTCTGGTCTTCTGGATTATTATGTTGCAAAGTGCTGTAGGTGATTATAAACATTTTGAAGGATCCCATGACCTCCTTCATAGATGAAATTTTCACCATGGTGAAAACCAAATTTCACAATATAAAACATGACATTTTTCTCAAACAAAATAAAAGATTTGTTGTTTTCTCATTACTCATTATGAATTTCTTGACAATTAGAAATTCAGATTTCCAGTGTGTTTGACTTTTATGTAAGTCAATACTTGCCCTGACATAAACCATAAGATAGTCATGCATGCCCACAGTACGTCAGTAACTATAAGGAAGCCATTACCAAGCACTGCTTGCAACATGCTCATATGTTCCATCCTCTTAATATTCACTACATCTTAGTATTGCTAACTCTGTAGCTGCTGCTCATACAGTCCCTGCCAGCAAGGCTTAGGGCATGGGTTTGAGTGCCCCATAGGGCAACCAGCTGAGCATGCCTGCTGTAAAAGATATTAAAGAGATATGATACTAATTATAATAACTAAGCATACATACATTTGTTTTGGTGAGCTGTCCAACAATGATTGGTACAACAATTCCTGGTATAGTGGCGACAGTATTTGTGATTCCCATCAGAGTTCCTTAAACAGCATAACAATTCATGTGTTAGGTGCACTGGGCAACCAAAAATATAAGAATGTAAATTTTTTTAAGTAAATTATTATTTCAGAACTAATCAGCCTGGTTTTTAAACAGTTATTTCATCCACTATTGATATTTTCATTGTCATTCTTCCTAATACAATATGTGCTAAAAATATACTTCAATTTCCTTTCTGTTGCATATAGAATCATAATCAGCACTATACTGTACTATCCAGATTGTTCATGTCTTTCTGCAGATTTACTTTTTGTCCTTGTCTTTGAGGTTAAAATATGCTTTTATTACAACTGGTTTTTTAAAATGTTATTTAGAAAAAACCCAAACCTATGAAAATCCTGGGACTGCATATGTCCTTGTAAGACAAATCCAATTTTTTACTACTAAACTGGTACACTGTGAAGTACAGCAAATGAAATGAAGTAACATGATTGTTACAATAACAATAACAATGACAAGTCAAGAGCCATAATTCATACTGATGGATTATGTAACATTATTAGAATGTGTATTAATTTCAACTGATTATAATCCAGATTCGGAAATATTAAAAAATAAAACTATGAAAAATTAAAAACAATAAAACACTTCATATATTAGGCTTAGATCATATTGCAAATATGTTCTAAAAACTGCAAAATCTGTTTTTGTGACAGAAATGTTTAAAACTAAATATTCTTGGTTTGCTTTTTGTGTCTAAAATGAAATAATAATTATGAATACCCACTTCAGTAGCAGTTCCAGAAATTTCTTTACTCACTAATTTATGCACACTCACAGTCCCTGAATACATATAAATTTATTACCTGCAAATCGAGGAGCAATGTCAATGTGATTGCTAAGAAATCCAGAAAACATGCCACCCATTAAGGTTGTGCCCACAGCCATGAATGCAAAAATTAAGCCCATCTCACAATGTAAAAAGTTTACAGCCACAAGGCATAGAGCTGGTAATGCAGATGCTGGAACAAATTTAATTACACATATTTAGTTTTGCAGATGATTAACAAATACATTATTATACTGAATTTTGAGGAAAAAAAATCTTTTGAATCCTAAAACCATTTCTCCAGTCCTCTATGAAGAAAGGCTCCAGAAATCAATATCCTGTATAGTCTAATTACCTTAAATGTATTTATTATTACTGCCATTGTTGCAAAGCAGGAAACTGTATCTCTGTGGAACTGGGGCTGCTAACAGGCCCACTGTCCATCACCAGATATATAACATGAAGCAGCAGTGGAATGATAATGACAGAGGAAAACAAAATGAACTCTAAAACACCGGTTCCACCGTCACTTCGTCTACCACAAATCCCACATGGACTGCCCTAGACAAGAACCTGGGCATCCACAGTGAGAAGCTAGTAATTAACTGCCAAAGCTATGGCACAGCCCAATGTATTCATTAAAACACTTTGTTATGAAAGAAAAAATAAAATAAACTTGTAGATAACTATTGGTTATTTTGATTTTTCTTCTGCATTTTAACTTCATGGTAGGAAAAGGCTGTCAAGTCTGTTAGAAGTTCACACATTCATTTCAGCTTTCCCCAAGAGCTCCAGAAAATTAATCGAGTTTATTCTGCCAGAAGAAAATCTGACACTATTCCAGATTTTGGACAATGAAAAATATACCTCCAAGAATGTTATATCCTTACAAACAAAAGTTAAATACATAAATTGAAGGTTGAGGGCTCATAGTCATGGCTCAAATTTATACAACAGAAGTGTAAGTGCACTTCGAGAAATTTCGACAACCTAAATCTATAACAAAACTTCAAGCTTACATAGCATACCATGCCATAAATTAATACACATCTACAAATCAATATTGCATGTACACTTACCCAAAAATGTAGCAATTTTCCTGGCTGCTGTAACAGTTAATATCTTCTTTCTAATCAGTTTACTCTGACATGCACTTAGTGCCAGTGAGAACAGCCACAATGTAAAAAATGGTAATGAAGAATAGATGGTAATCTGCAAAATATAAAATATTTGAACTTAAGGTAACATGTAATGATTAGGAATTTCCATTAACTAAGTAAGATGTGAGTGTAACTGAAAAACAAATACCAAGTAATCCATAAATCAATCAAAAATATTTTGAAGTCTTTACTCTTCATGGTAATTTAAGTTTCATATTTATCGTAATGGCTGCTATTGGCAAACGTGTTCATACAAAATTCTAAGTTCCAGTCCCCAAAAATTTGAAATGTAAGTCACATCAATGCAATTTCATACAATGCACAGTATGACCTCTGAAACATTGGTAAACATCTATCATACTACATGGCGCAACAACCCAGAAGACAGAAATCTTCATACTCACCGCTGTGTAAACCTCAAATCTTACATGTGATTTAATCATCATGCTAATTTACCAATCATGTTCTTTTGAGTTTTCTGTATTTATATATGTATGTTGCCAGCAGTATTGAGTTAAAGAAAACAAAACTACACTGTACCTGGTTCATGGAGAGTCTGAGGACTTGATCATAGTAAATAGGTGTCTCTATTAGAAGCATGTACCATCCAAAATTGCTGAACATGTGAGAAAACAGGATGGCATAGAAAGGAGATGAAGTCCACACATGTTTCCATGGCACTGATAGTTTCTGAAAGTAAAAATTAGAAGAATGTTGCAATGATGTCAATGTTTTTCTGAGCTGTGTGACACCACACGAGAACCTAAATCTCACAATATTGCATTATTTTAAGTTACTCCTTTAGTTATAATTTCACATTACAGAATATACATAACATTATCACCCTGAATTTTTTGCCTGTTTTTTACATTAATATAACCTTAATTATCCTACAAAGGCAATTTAATTCTACCAAGGTAAACTTAATTTTTTTTATTTATTTCGACAGATATCAGACACATTATTATTCTATAAACTTGGTAATCATGGTTTAGTTCAATGTTTATTTCACTGTATCATAGCAGGACTCAACATCTTCACTGCCATTTGCTATAGAGGGATTTGCTGCATACAGGATATATCACTGCTACTGGTATGCTTATGACCACTTTTGGTGAATCATCCTAATATACAATATGATATAAAAAGACCAATCCTTGACACATTACCAGTTATGAGCTATCGATATATAATGAAATAACAATGGCTACAAGCCTATTCTTAAAATTACATTAATTTTTCTCAAAACTGCATTACATAACATAACATTATACAGTCATTAGAGAAATGGTAGATTTTTTCCAAACTTATTTCACCTTTGGTGTTACTTCTTCCTTATCTTCACCAAGAGAACTGGTGATATAATCTCGTTCTTCATCTGAGATATATGGGTTTGTTCGTGGGCTGTCTGTCATTAGCAGCCACCACAGCAAACACCAGATGCTGGACAAACCTCCCATGATGTAGAATGCCGCTTCCCAGTTAATATAATCCACTATAAGTCCAGTGAAGAGAAGGGAAAGCACAGTACCAATGGCAGTGCCTGTTAAAAAGCAACAGCAAATGAAATTAACATTTATTAATAAAAGTGTACCTATTAATAAAAGTGTACCTATGTGCATGTATGTCACCAAACCAGACAATTAAATATATCACAAACATATTTTAAAATGTGAAATTTAATCCACATGCAGTGATGTTGAATGCCCTTTCAGAATACAGCATGAAAAAGCAAAGGACATTGCAAGCGACCTAAGAATCCATTACACAATTCTTCGTGACACTGGAAGGTGTAAAGTTTGTCGCAAATGTATTACTTCTTACTATAGCATACAGAGAATTATGGCAGTTAAATAAAACCAGTTACCTGACTTCTCTTTATATGTATTTATATTAGCATTACACATCATAACCATTTGAATTTAACAAGAAGCAAATGTAAAGGCTGTTGAGTGTTTGATGAAAAAATACCATCTTGTTATCTGAATTTATAGAACTATTTTTTTCAAACAATTTTCATATGTAAGCTTATATATGATTCTACATTGTTATTTATCATGTCATCAATAATTTTAAGTATCAATAAGAAATTTTGGGACAATGAAAGTAAATGGAAACATTCTGATTTGTCTGCAGCCATTACCACAATCACAAACAACTTAAAAAAAAATTCAGAGGAACAAAATATTCTGGTAGATAATGTAAGAAATTTATCAATTAGGCATCTTAAATACTTTAAATCGATTCATTAACCATAAACCCAGAGATTAAATTAGAAACTTCACACCTGAAATCTAATACTACCAAAATCCTGCTTTTCTTATGACTGTCCTAAGGCACACTCTGTGATATTGTCTCCTCAACTTCTTCTTGGATATATAATAAACATTCCAACATCACCGTTTTGCCACAAACTTGATAAATTTCAAGGTTACAAAATGGGAGAGAAAAATTTCTATTCCAACCTGCATAAATTATTGAAGATATCAGACTGCGTTCTTCAACTGGTGCCCATCTGGAAATCATTACATGCAATGCTGGAAATGAAAATCCCTGAAACAAAATTACTTACATTTAAATCATAATTATTTTTTTATTATAACTGATAATACAAAGATGGCTTGTTATATTGCATACACATGTAGAACAGAAATACAAAACACTACAAATGTTTTCAAATTTGTTCTGACAGATCTATAAATAATGTGATCAAACCAAGAACAGCAATGTGTGATAACTGGAGTCTTCCCTTTCATATAAAATAATCAACCATCTACATGTTTGGTAAAACATGTTTCCATAAAATATACATATAGCCTTACAATAATTTCTATGAAAAAAACTCACAGGTAAAAATGATGTGAAAACCATTGTAAATTGTTTTTAAACTATTCTATTATTAAATATAATTACTGCTAAATTTGTACTGCAGTATCAACTGTAGTTATGTTTTGATACATAACAAACTAAGGCCTCATTAAAGTGTGATTCCTATAGCTCACACACAAATATTTACGTCAGTAAAATATATACCAAAAATCAAACAATTCAAATGCACTGTTGAATCCTGGACATATTCCAAAGAAATCGGTTGCCCATTCTACGAGGCGCGTCCTCAAAGTAAGTTTCCCTGGGGCCGTTTACAGAAACAAAACACAATTTCATGGAAATATTTATTGCAACAGATACAGCAAGTGTCCAGCTATTTTTCAACATATTCGCCACCGGAATTGAGACATTGGTCATACCGTGGGACCAACTTTTGAATACCTGGG